CCTTTCAAGGCAGTGGCTCTGCTGCTGAGTGAGCAACATTCTTCCCAGTGGTTATCCAGCCCTGACCAATCAGATAATCAGCTGCTTCTCCAATAGGTGAGCATCTAGGCCAGTGGTTCTCAACCTTCCTAATGCCGCAACCCTTTAATACAGTTCCTCATGTTGTGGTGGCCCCCAATTTCACTGTTACAAATTGAACATAATTAAAGCATAGTGATTAATCACAAAAACAATATAATTATATATGTGTTTTCTGATGGTCTGAGGCGACCCCTGTGAAAGGGTCATTCGACCCCCAAAGGATCTAGGAAGAGAGAGATGCAGGCAGAGTTTCTCCTCTTCAGGGGCGCTGGGAAACATTGAGCCCTTCCCCAGCCGGCTGTACTTCCCAGCATGAACATGAACTATGTATCTGTGAACCACTGTAGGATGACCAGGAGGCCCTAGGAGAGCCTCCCCTAGGAGAACAGAGCAAATTCATCTTAATCACCACACCTACGACCACACATCTGTCCCAGATTAATATACAGCACAGAATCATATCAAGAGTAAAGAACAGTAGCCCCCCACCTCCTCTTAGCCATGGTTTCACTTTCTGACATTTCAGTTACCTGTGGTCAACTGTGGTCTGAAAATATTAAAAGATAAATTCCAGAAATAAAGCAATTTGTAAGTTTTAAATTGTATGCTGTTCTGAGTAGCATGATGAAATCTCAAACCATCCTGCTCTGTCTCATCAGGGACATGAATCACCCCTTTGTCCTCAGTCTCCACTCTGTATACACAATCCCCACATCCCCCTTTGTCATTTAGTAGCTTCTCACTTATCGAATCTACTGTCCAGGTGTCCCATGGCCGGTGTTCAATTAATCCTCATCTGACTTCATAATGGCCCCAAGTGCAAGATAGTGATGCTGGCAATGTGGACAGGCCACAGAGGAGCTGAAAAGGGCTTCCTTTTAGTGAGAAGCTGTATACAGGGTACAGTACAGTAAAATATTTTGAGAGAGAAAAAGAGAGAGAGAGAGAGACATTTACATAACTTTTATTACAACATCTACACTAATAAAAGACAAACATGCAAATTGACTGTGCCTTTGCTACACCTTAATCCATGCCCAACAGCCAATCAGAGCGACTATATGCAAATTAACCCAACCAAGATGGTGGCTGGCAGCCACAGAGCTGGAACAAGCAGGAGGCTTGGTTGCCCCAATGATGGAGGAAGCCAAGCTTCCCAGTCAGCTGCTGCCTCCTCTCAAGACAACAAAGTTTCAATTATACCCCCCTGCGGTCCCTCCCTGAATGGCCAATCTCCCATGTCCCTCCCTGCCATGATCGTGCACTGGTGGGGTCCCTTGGCCTGGCCTGCTCCATCTTGCAACCTGGGACTCCTTAGGGGATGTTGGAGAGCCAGAATGACCCAACACTATGACACACACTCACCACCAGGGGGCAGATGCTCAATGCAGGAGCTGTCCCTTGGTGGTCAGTGTGTTCCCATGGGTGAGCTCTGCTCAGTCACAAGCCAGGCTGATGGCTGCCAGCACAGCGGTGGCGGCGGGAGCCTCTCCTGCCTCCTCAGCAGCACTAAGGATGTCCAACTGCAGCTTAGGTCTGCTCCCTGCTGGCAAGTGGACACCCCCCGAAGGCTGCCAAGCTGCCAGAGGGATGTCTGACTGCCATCTTGGGCCCATTCCCCCAGGGAGCGGGCCTAAGCCAGCAGGTGGACATCCTCCGAGTGGTCCCAGTCTGCAAAAGGGCATAGGCCGGGCTGAGGTACCCCCCCTCCCGATGCACAAATTTTTGTGCACCAGGCCTCTAGTCTATAATAAAAGCATAATATGCTAATTAGACCAGATGACCTTCCGGATGAAGCCAGGGCTGCCAGGGAAACCTGGGTCCCAGGTGCCAGAGGGCAGCTGGGGGAAGGAAGGCCTACTCTTGCATGAATTTCATGCATCGGGCCTCTAGTATTATAATTGCTCTGTTTTATCATTTTTAGTATCAAGATTCTTGAGCCTTTGCTGGAAATCTGCTCACCTCTCAACAGGGCAGCACTCTGAAAAGCATTCCAACCTCCCTCTGCTGCCAGTACCTCTGATATATCTTGATGCAGTTATAATGAAATACAAAAAATATTTCAATTTCAATTTTGAGTCTGCAGCACTTAGCTTAGGTATACATTTCATGTGAGACAGCCTTGCTGTCTTGCTACATTCTCTTACCTGCTCCCAGAAAATCAATAGATTTATATAGAGAAAGGCAATCAATTATTTTGCACACTCCACTTGACCTCGTTTTGCCTCATTACTAATATATTTTTATCTTTTTAGTGTCCCACCTTTCTGTTTTTAAGATACCAATACTGTGATTCTAATACTTTTCACAAATAAAGAATGAATTAGCTATGCTAGGATATCATACTCATTTTTCAAAGCAGATTTTTATTATGGGACATTCTAGAGTAGATTAGTGACCATTTATCATTATTATTTTTTTAATATTTTTATTGATTTCAGAGAGGAAGGAAGAGAGAGAGAGAGAGAGAGAGAGAGAGAGAGAGAGAAAGAGAGAGACATCAATGATGAGAGAGAATCATTGATCGGTTGCTTCCTGCACACCCCCTACTAGGAACCAAGGGCTCAACCAGGGCATGTGCCCTGTTTCATAGGTGGATGCTCAAGCACTGAGCCACACCTGCCAGATACCATTTATCATTATTGTTTTAAGTGCCTCCACTGGGACCAAAGACTCAGACATTCTGGCTCTCCAGGCACCACTCATTAGTAGTATGCCTGTGCTTTGAGTTCTAACTTTTTTGAAACACATATTAAAATTGACTCCCTACCTCCTTGGCAGCCTAAAGAAATTAGTGATAAAGTTCTAATACATTTGGTTCATGTGAGAAGTTTTTGTTTTATAACTCCATTAGGATTAGAACATGTTTATTTTTAATCACAACCCAAACTTCTTAAAAAAATACATTTTTAGATTGTTCTTAAAACTTACGAGGAAATGTACCTTTGTAACTATTATTATCCTTTGGAAAGTTTGCATTACATTTGGTGCCTTCTTAAAATGTGTGACAGTACCTCTGTATTTGTAAAAGAATTAATCAAATAAAACTAGATTCCAGCCCAGCTGGTATGGCTCAGTGGTTGAGCATCAACCTATGAACCCAGATGTCATGGTTCAATTCCCGGACAGGGCACAAACCCAGGTTGCAGGCTCAATCTCTAGTGTGGGGTGTGCAGGAGGCAGCCGATCCATGATTCTCTCTCACCATTGATGTTTCTATCTTTCTCTCCCCCTCTCCCTTCCTCTCTGAAATCAATAAAAATGTGTTTTTTAAAAATTAGACTCCAGTCCTAGGTCACTCTTACCTAGATGGTCAGGAAGGAGCCTGCTCCCTGGGATGGAGAGCCCCTCTTTCTGTTTCTAAGCCCTATGGTAACTGCTGCCCTCCATAGCACCCAGAAGTTTTCCTTGACTCTCCTACACATGAAATTAATACAGAAACAGAGATGTTGGAGTGGTTCTAAATTATTCAAGATCTTTATTACTAATGAATGCACTCCTGTGAGCCCTTAAACACAGTGTACATTCAATGTCACTGTTTTGCATGCAATTGCTGGGCCACCGGGACAAGACGTCCTCTCTCACTGGGAATGCCATATCGGAGTAATGTATGCAGAATGTTTGACTAAAATGCTTCTTCAAGGACACGAAAAAAGGTAAGGGCCTGGGGTGGAGACAGGGAGATTGTGTCTCCACTGTAATGTTGACGGGACAGGAGGCTGGGTCCTTCTGCACCTGCCTGGGGGGCTTCAGGAAGAGCTCAGGGGAGCATTTCTGCACCAAGAGGCGTTCTTACCCGATCCCACTTAAAATGACTTTCCAAACAAATTTTACTTGAATGTATTTGAAACTTTCCTAGTTTTGACAAATCTACAGTCACTATTGCTATGATATTTTTAAAGAACAAATGTTATCAGTTTTTGCTTTAGTTTCTCTCTTTGTAAAATCCGATTTACCTGTCCAATAATTTGCCCTTAATTCATTCCCTAGAAGGGGGGAAAGTACTATTTAAATTTTATTATAAGGTAACTTTTTAAAACAGTTTTCAACTGCTCATGTTAAGAAATGTCTTTTTAAAGAATTGTATAATTTTTTTACAGCATAGCCCATTTTTTGGTTCAAAGCAAACATATATACATATCTGTGTATATACATTGAGTTTGAACAATAGTTACAACATGAAAAGGCAGCTAGCTAATTTATTACTCTTTTTAAAATGAAATATTGACTAAATTCTACATGTAGAATTGTGTGATAAGGTGTTTAAATGGATATAATATTTGTCAGGAATTTAATATGTAGAATTGTTAATTTTGTCCTTCACAATTCAAGTAAAACTACCTTTTCTTGAGGTAAGGATCCAGTTTACTCTTGAAATTATAATGCCTCGAAAGTTCTAAGTAGTCATGGTATTAGTTTCAGGAGCTGGTCTCAGTTTCTGAGTTATCGCTCTAAGTTCCAGAAGTGTGACCTGTATGAAAAGCTTCTACCACTATGGTCCTATTTTTTCCCTCCCAGGAGACTATAGACCAGTGATGGCGAACCTATGATAAGTGTGTCAGAGGTAACATGTGAACTCATTTTTCTGGTTGATTTTTCTTTGTTAAATGGCATTTAAATATATAAAATAAACATCAAAAATATAAGTCTTTGTTTTACTATGTGACACGGCACCAGAGTTAAGTTAGGGTTTTTCAAAATGCTGACAGGCCGAGCTCAAAAGGTTCGCTTCACTGCCATAGAGTCTATAGAGTCTTCCTAAACACCTCACATTCTTGTTCCACAGGTGAAATGACTTTTAGTTGCCTGTTTGTTCCCCTACCCTCCTTCCTCCACTGCAAAACCTTCTGCCTAAAATATTGCTTCATTTTCAGTTAGGAGAACCCTCTTGCCATCCACCCTTCCAAGAAACTCCTGAAATGGACCCAGACAATCAAGGTGAGCATTTTTGTGAATTTCTGAGCATAGTTTGTAAACAAAAAAATTAGGCACAGGTGTTGTATTTTCAGACTTCTGAGTTGCAGCAGAGTAGATGTTTGGCAAATTTCTGGCTGAAAAAAAGAGACTATTGCATGATTTAAAAGACTTTTTCTTCTAAACAGAAATTCATATTTAAGAATATTTGGTCTATTGCCTCCAAAGCACCCAAATAAATTAACAAATTACTTGTTCTCAATATAATTACATTTTAATTACAAGAAGTGGCTTATTTTAAATTATTCTCATAATTTACTGTTAAAATGATATCACTGTAGAAATTTCCATGTCAGGGGTTAAGTTCCCAATGCTATGTGGGCCCAAGGTTGGGAGAAAGATCTCACAGCTATCATTATGTGAATATTTGATAAACGAATGTTCGGGGGACCAATTCCCCTTTCTTCTAACACATCTGAATGCCAGCTTAGGCCCAAACTGGTCTAGGACATTTTTATTGGTGGGTCTAGTTGCAGCCCCTAGCTAAAATCTAAATTGTTAACTTTACTTGTTCTATATAAAATTCTATAATAACTCAAGTTGTTTATCTAAAACAACTAGTTGAGTAATTCAAATTATCTTTGGGTTTCCCAAATTTAGACCCTCATATTAATAAGCTTAACACAGAACAGTAGATAATGTATTCAAAGCCAAATTCTCTGTCTCTAAAGATGTGTTTTTAAAATTTAGTGTGCCAGCATCACCAGCAGGGCTGGTTAAAATGCTGGGCTTCACCTGCAGAGTTAATGCCCCCGTTGGTCCAGGGTGGGGTTCCAAGAATTCATTTCCACAAATTCGCAGTTGATACTGATGTTGCTCATCTGGGATCACACTTTAACAACCACTGACCTAAAATACCTATTTCTGGACCATCAAAGTAGATGATGGACAGTTGAAAGCAATTTTATTATATTTTTAGTATCTGTAAAAAATGACACATATTGATTTGGCTAAACAAAATTAAGAATCATTTAAAGCAGGGAGAAACCAAGATGGCGGCATAGGTAATCACCTATATTTGCTGCCTCTCACAACCACATCAAAATTACAACTAAACGGCAGAACAACTACCACCCAGAACTGCGGGAAAACTGGCTGAGTGGAAGTTCCACAACTTGAGAGGTGAAGAAGGCGCATTGAGACCAGTAAGAGGTGCAGAGGCACGGACAGTGCTGGCACCTGGATGTACTGTTCTTTAAACTGGGAGGGAGATACAAGCTCCCACTTGCTCTGAATTACAGTTATGGGCGGGACTCTGGGGGACCCAGACACATACAGGAAGAAACTGGAATATCTGGCATTGGGACAAAAACGTGAGGGCAGCTTACTCTTAGAGGTGCTCCCAGCAATCATTGTTCCTGAACAGGTGCGCAGGACACAGAGAACCAGGGACTTCTCTGATTCAGGGAAGCCATTGCTGTTTGCTCCACCCTGGTGATTCCAAGAAACCCCACCCCACCCAATTTACAACCCCACCCAAGCAGTGTACATCGGCTTTTGCATATGAATGGCCTGTCCTTTCGCCTAAAACAAACTGCACCTGTGTCAGAGAGCCCCAGAGATTCCAAAAGAAGGCCCCCTACCTGACAGCAGCAGCAGCCTTGCTTTACATCTTGGCCTCCTATGGGCACTTCCAAACCCCATACAAAGAAGAAGAATCTGAAGATGTCTCTGTAGCTCCTGCTGGGCAGCCCCAGACAGTGGCTGACCTTGTAGCTCCTTGGAGATGATAACAGATTACAACTCTTCACATCCATATGAGACACACTCAAGGGGCAGACTCAGTGAGCACCAAAGCCCTACTGAAGCAAGTCCTGTCCCATAAGGATGTCTCCTGTGCAACAGATCTTCCAGTGTAGACATAGCTGGTCAACACAGCCATTTGGCTTGGAGGTCAATTCCTCCCAGTGATACCAACAGCAATTAAGGGTTAACCACAACAAGACTGTGCAAACATCCCACAAAGGGGTGCACCAAGAGTATCCACCTCAGGTGACTGGGGAGGCTGAGCCACTGGGCCATACAGGACACCAACCACACAAGGCCACTTTATCAACTCAAGGAGACTTAGCAGCTACCCAGTACATAGAA